ACTATAGATATTGGGCTACATATTACAGATGTATAACCAGAAATCCAGCAAACAGCATCCAGGTACATATTTACGAGTGTCCATTACCATCGAACCGCGACAGTGCATTTGCTGTTATTTTTGAATTACAAATGCCGATTGAAATTCGAAGTTATCATGATATTGTCTGGCAATTTTGGAATCGACCAAAACCGCACTCAAAACATCAAATATATGAATGGTTCAGTGTTTCACCTCATCAAAACAAGGTAGGTTCATTCTATACTGGTCCTAAGAACTGTAAAATGAAATTAGTATCCGTCACAAAATCTGTAACGAAAACTCATTATTCATGTCCATCATCTCTTTCCTCTGCATCTATCGAAAATTTTCGCTACGACAACAGTTTGAGTATTCAAATCTTGCCAACAAATCTAATTGGATTCAATAATGAATGCTGCATATTAACGCCTCAACTTAATCGTCCAGAATACAAACAATTACAATTTACAATAAACACCACGGAGTTTGTATAAAATCATGTCATTGCAAGACTGTCTGATTGTTCAGTACGACTGAAACCTAACCAATTTGTAGAATTCGGCTCATTCAGATCGGGCCATCGTTTGCAATGGTGGAATCTCTTAGCAATGCTTGAGATTGACACATTGCCTATTTCTGAAGAAAGTGTAACAATATTGATTATGAATTCAATATTGCAATAAGATCCATGAACAATGGATGTAAGCTCACCCTGTAACTCTTGGTGCTTGGAAGTCCATGAGCAGTTATTTGAAGATCATTTTATCGATGAATTGATTGCGAGATTAGATTGCCATTTAGATGGTTACGAATTAAATTGGCAAAATGAATTAGTATTAGTAACTGTTACAGTCATTACTATGAGAACGTTTACCATTTGTAATTCAACACGACAAGATAAAATTGCTGATTTAGCAATGAAATATCGTAGAATCGGTGAAAAATGGATTTTTCTTATTTCGAAAAATCTTCAAATAGTCTTGTCTTCAGCCCGTTATGAAATTGAACAACTTCGTCTCAAGATGGTAACTATTGGTATTTCATGTCTATTAACATTTTCAACTCATTCAGATCGAATACATTAATTATTGTCATCGAATGAACATATCATATCTCTACTAAAAGCACTAACTACTATTCATTCACGATAATATTATTTTAAACAAGAATCAGTCAAATATGAGTACATTTTAAAGAAATATGATGAGATTTAGAGCATGTATCTTAGTAGCTGTAAAGCCAATTATTGCTGAATTTCTTCAAAAAACTTCCTTTCAAAGTTTAAATGATTTTGCTGCCATCTATTGGACTATCATTATGAGCAAATGTACTATGAACGGGAAACGACAAAAATGAAAGTGTAAGATCCTTATGACGATTGTTATGATTGCCGATATGAATCAAGTTATATATTGATTGATTGTATTGAAGTAACCTTTTTAGTTGATGGAATGACTATAGATTTTTTACCTCAACAAATAATAACCAATGAATTATTTATACGCGTATTTGGTAATCATATTTTTCAAGTTCAGTTGGGTGAATCACCTAAAACTTATATTACTAAACATTCGTATCATGGAGATGGAAAAATTCAATATGAATTTCATTTCGATGATCAAACCAAATTTTTGATAATTACTGAACGACATATTTAGAGAGATGGGACTTTTCCATTGACTCCTCATAGCTGTTTCCAAGCAGGGTCAGTGCATGAACGCAAAAAACAGATAGTCCAATTTCAACCTATTTGTTTTAAGGAGCCTGATTTTTTAAATAATAAACTGTACATATTAAGATTGAGAAAAGGATATGTTCTTACTACCGTGAAAAATTATCCACAAATTTTGGTTAATCAATCATCAACATTCTTTCGAAATTTGTTCAGACGATACTTTAAGCGTCTAAATGACAAACCTTATGTTTATATGATGCGCGACAAAATCTCAGGCTGGTATAACTATTCACATCCACTTATCCCGTTTAGGCATTGCTTTCGAATACAATTCTTCAACCAATCTCATTAAATTTCGTGAATATACAGATATATGTATTGACAAAGATCAATGGTTGGGAATATTAACAGGTTTAACATCTGATCTTCGCTTATTACCGTTACCAGCTAATAACTACAGATTGAATCATTTTCCATATCAAAAATTAATTGTACCTTTTCGCATGGTTCAAAGTATCAGAAGTCAGCACACGAATCATCAAACTATTACCATAAATCGATCATATTTATTATCATTTGCTCATCAATATTTTGTTTTCATTCTCAATGATAGATTAAAAATACTTCAATCAACAGATAGCCATACTGAATGGCTTTATTTAGCATTATTACATGCGATGACTTCTCATCCATTATCAGATCAATATACTGGAATGACTGGAATGAGACGAGCTTTTCAATTTTTGTATTCAGCTGGTTGTTGGTCAGATCAACCTTTTGATAAAGTTTCTCTAAATATTCTTTCTCAGATTGCATCCATTTCTCCATATAGTTAATTATTACCCAGAACACTTGAATTGTATCAAAAAAATAAACTGGACTTCAAATCGTGTACCTTATTCGATGCAATATTTCGGTTATTATTTAATAGCAAAAACACTAATCGTTAATAGTCAACAATTCAATGTTATGTATCCATTGCTAGACATACTGCTCGCATGTCACAAACTATCCTGTTCTCCGTCTTGTGAGTGACCTATATAATAATGAAGATGTAGATCTTACAGACTGTTCGAAAAAGCATTGGTTACCTTTGTCTCAATGGCTGACTGATGAAAATAATTTGAAAGATATTTGGGTGGGTTTATTAAAATTGACTAATGATATTAAAACAAAAACAGCTGAAAATAAGACAGACAACATTAAACGATTCAAAGGCTTGTTAAACTTTCTTCATTATATTTCCGACAAATGTAAGATCAAAGCATTTTATTTGTAAATGCTACAGACAATGTTGAAAGTATCTACTGTATTGCTAAGGTCCCTTACATTTTCTTCTTTTATCTTTTATCACAATATCGAAGAAATTTCATCTACAAAGAATCGTATCGAACATGGTACACATCTAATCTTAAGAAAAAGAAAAAAATTCTAGAAGGAATTGAAGCATGTTGGTGGAGAAACTGTGAATATACAGATGCTGAAAAATTGCTATCTTCTAATAAAATAACTGAGATCAACATTTTATTGAATTCTTGGAGATCTAACAAAAGCCTTCAATCTTTTTTAGAGACCCTTCAATGCCTCATTTGCTCCATTCCAATAGAATCGTTCGATGCCAAAGCATCATATTACCTTCAACAGTTTGCACGTGAATCACTCAATGCTCACTATCAAATACGAACCAAACCTACAGAAAAATCGATCGATCCATTACTTTTACAAACTGCAGCAAGAAAATTTCATTGTTTCAATGCAGGTCATTTTAATAAACCTACTAAATTTCTGAAAACAACGAATCGGCAGAATGAATTTCCACAAGAAATTTTTCCTTCTGCCATCAATCAAGACAATCCTCTAAGCGAAATTACTAATTATTTTAAAAATCAATTATCTGAAAGTTGGAAAAAATTTCTTTCTGATCGTCAACATGAAACAGAAGATCTTTCTATGAAAGAAATCATTAAACTTCTCGATTCTTTTCAAGAAGAATCTACAAAATTCTGGAATAAATTATTCAAGTCTATTACATTATCCCATGAACAATTATTTGAAATAGGTTTAGTATTAAGAATAACATCAACAGCTCTCATACGTCTCCTTCAACAGGAAAATTGATACCTTAAAAAATATTTACCATTTATATTGACTACATATCAATGTACAATACTCGGCGGTATTATTGTCAATTGGACATTAGAATAACAAATGGAAAGAACATTACATTTTGCCATTCATAAAACATGGGAAGACTTTAAAAAAGAAATATCACGTATATAGCATTCAAATTGGAAACCATCTAAATATATTTCTTGGCTTATCGTAGAATTAGCAATGAATATAACTATTCGAGAACTTCAAATAAAAGTAGCACAACATATGACACAACCAAATATGAAAACAGATGATTCCAAACTACGGAATATAGTGATGCAAATGAATATGGGTCAAGGAAAAACATTAGTTATTTTGCCAATGTTAGCTGTTAATTTGTCTTCATCTAATTCCAGTTTAGTTCGTATTATAGTACTTAAATCTTTGTTACCAACAAATCATCAATCATTAGGATATAAATTAGGTGGCTTACTTAATCGACGTATTTTTCCATTTGCAGGCCGTCGTGATATGAATTTCAATGATGAACAATTAAATCAAATTTTGAAACGCTTTCGACAAGGACTATGTAACTATGATATTATATTAACTTCACCACACTATAAAAAAATAGGCTTATTACGGAAGCTGTTGTCCGGGGGAAGAACCTTTGAAGTTTCGTATGAATCTACCGAACTTTAAAAAGTTTTTGCAAAAATATTCGAATCTTATTTAGGTCCGATAGATTTATACGAAACCTCAAAGGCTGTTCCCCCGGACACAGGTTCCGTAATAAACCTATTTTTTTAGGGTGCAGAATATATTCTCTCATTTGCTTTACTCACTATTGATAAATGTAGAAGAAATGAATTCGATACTAGTCGTTCTATGTTAACAGTTCAACAATGGTTAAAACAATATGTTCGGGATGTATTAGATGAATCTGATGAAATTTTACATGTTGAATATCAATTAATTTATACTGTCGGTGGCCAAGAACAAGGTGATGGAGATGCAGAACGTTGGAAAGGTGTGGGTGTTGTGCCTTTCAATGACCACACTCACACCCACAGTCACCTACACCCACCCCTATTCTTGATTTTCTCATGAATATTGTTCACTGGGTAGTATCAAAAGCAACTGCCTCCCCTCGTATGTAGCAGAGGCGTTCAGAGCTTGGTTTTACCAGGATCAGTGGTATTGAGCAGCATACTATTGCTTTTGAAGACTTAATATTTTATCTATCGTGTACTACGATGGAAAAATAAAAAAAATCAAACCGTGGTATAATGCACGTTTTTTCTAACCTTCAATTCACTCTCTCTTCCCGTCGGTTAAGATATTCGAGTGGTGAATGAGAGAACAAGCAAAATAAAGATGCTATAAGAATGAAAAAAAGCATATTTCAATAATATTCAACAAGGTGCTCTTTTTACTTATACGAATGAATGCGCGCAAGTCAAACTTTCTTTTCGATATGTATATAAGCAACATAATGCTTTCATTTTTTTCACTGAGCAACGTCGATATATTACACAGCTATCCTGGCCGTCACAAAAAATTTTGCACGAATACAGTAAGCAAACGTAAATCTTTTAAAAATGCAGTTTCTTCAGAAGATTCTTCTAATCATCACTATTCAGAAGATTTTCTACTGCTAATTAGCACCACCAACATTGTACAGTATTATTTCGTATCATAGTAATCATTTTCGTGGCGACAAGATTTTTCCGAGGTTCTGTACGAAACCAATAGAATATATTAGTTACAATACGCTCATTCTACTCGTAAAGCTTCTGTAGTAAGAATTATCAATGCATTTTATGATTTCCACCGTAGAAAAATCTCTTCAACAATGTATTATTTTACCATTCAAAGAGGCTTGACCACGCTGAAAATTAAGTATACTACTGCACCGAGGGTGGGGTGTGGGTATACATATGGATGATGCAGAGAAGATCCACAGTCACAGTGGCACCCACTCACATCCTACCCACACCCACATCCTCATTTTCACTCAAAGAGTGTCTTTGAAACTATAGAATAGTGTATGCGATCCATCAATTCAAATCATTTTTAATATACGGTGCTTATAAAACCGAATGTGTAATATAAAATATTCTTCTTGTAAACATTTCCATAACGCGTTTGGGTATCTTCTATTTTTTTATATCGCCAAATAGGCAACATAAATGATTAAAGCAATTCATGAAGAGAAAATTACCTTATACGAGACTGATTCGAGTTATTAGTTAGAACACTCTTTCTGAAAAGGTCATGATGCAATTAAAAAATTGAAACACTTTACGAAACTAGTCCACATAATAATATTTTATATTGTGCACTCAATTTCATCTAATGTTTATGAGTGATACAAAGCAATAGAAGTGATTTTAATGCATGAGTGAATAACATTGTTCTTTACATGGTTGAATAAGAGTTTCATTCAAACATCAACGAAATCACTACTGAGAAAAAAAGGATATGTTGAAAATAGTAGTTGTCATTCTACACACCACTCCTTAGTTTTAAATCTGAAGAAAATTGAAATACTTTTAGATGAGCTTCAAGTTGTGAATGTAGCGATATCTTCTGTATCTTCACATCCATACTCTTCCTGTTGCAATATATGACTGGATAGTCTTTCAGTGTAGGGAACAGTATTTACAATTTTTTGCATGGAAAAAAATTTCTGAAAAATTGAAAATCTAGTTTTTCCTATGTAAATGGATGAACTCTATGCAATGAAAGTAAAAAAGAAAAGCTGAAGTATTGAATTTTGACAACCTTACTACGATATCCTCTAGCCTTATGTACTTTGTAGATCATCTTGTTCTGTGTGGTTGTCTCATCGCCGACTGACTAGATAATGAAGACTGCGTCAGTGATTCATTCTCCTTACTTAAGAGTGATTTTAATAATCGTCATCGCGGGATTGACACTCCGTCATTATTATTATTACTCAGCTACTAATACTAACAATAATCGTGTACGTCACACGAGTGTCGATGGTGTTCCTCTACCTGCTTCGTTTGCCTCCCATTATTCAATCAGTCATGGTGTTCCTTTAAATGAGAACGCACTCAATTCGTTTTACAGTGCATTCCAATGTGTTGGTGGGAATCCTGGTGATTTTCATACAGAAAATGGTTGGCCTGATAGGCAATGTATATTCCATAATGTTTGTTTACGTCAGAGCGGTGCAAATTCAAAGTATATCATTGATTATTTCTATCCTTCGTCAATTAAATCTATGAGTTCAACTTTGATTCGTTGGAACAATACAATAATAGGTCTGCGTCATGGTGCTGGTCAATTTTCAAATGATGCGAGGATGGCTCAAGTGCAACTAGTTCCATTGAATCATTTGGATCGAACCGATTCCAACAGTAATCTTAGCTTTCTGGATGAAACCTATTTGATTTACCAGATCTTGCCTGATAGTGATATGAATTTTGGCCATGTGATATTTGATGATGCTTTTGGTTTGTATGCGAATTTGAGACAATTTCGAGCTACTCGATATAATTCACCCAACAAAAATCATGTGCTAGTATTCAAATCATGTTCACAATTCGAAGGCCATTTGAATGAACTGTGTCTTAAATTTACTGAAGGAATTTTTCCAGTCATTACATCACATCCAGTTCGTTCAATCAATTCATTATTCAATTCATCATTGAATTCCAATCGCACTTGTTTTCGAGAGTTGGTTGCCGGTCATAGCCCTTCGGGTGCAGTCGGCTGGGGCCCAAAAAATTTCAATCGGGCCCAAATTTTCTCTGAGTTTCGCTCGGATCTCCTCTTAAATCATGGAATCAATCCGAACAAATTTCCACAACAGCATCATATTTTACTTGTCAATAAAAATGGCAGGCGAAAATTTAATAATCTGAATGAGATCTACAAAACGATTGTATCCACTCCTCGATATGCCGGCATCAAGATTACAATTGCAAATGATTTTAAAGATTCAACAATTACTCAACAGTTGGAGTTATTTCAGACAGTTACTATTGTAATATCCCCTTGTGGAGGCATATCCCTCTTATTTTTTTGGCTTCCTCCACAATATACGTTAATTGTCTCAAGCTTTCTTGTCCCCACGACAAACGGTTATCTTTCAGGCCGCATGGAATCTCAACTATGGGACTATCAATCTCACATGCACGTAATTCATTATCCAGTCGATTCTCTTGATGAATTCACGATGCCAGCACAGTATAAAAAAACCGATTGGGTGGCTCTTCGTAATTATGCAGATCTCACGCTAAAGCCTGAAAAATTATTTCCGCTTATCGATCAAGCGATTGTGACTGCTGCACTGAAAACTAGTTAATTTGGTTCATTACAAGTGACTGCATGCCATCCTTTATGTACATTAACCTACTGTCATTCACATTTGTAGTTGTTATAGTTCTTGCAGATCTAGATTGCTTCACTTTCTTTTCTTAGATTTGTTAAGGTCATATCTTGAGGGTGTGGTCTAGAGACTGTCAGTAGGTGGATGTGGGGTGTGGTTGTCTTATAAAAGAAATATTCACTGTCATAGACCCGCATTCACACAACCACATCCTCAAGTAATTCATGTGGCAAATGCAAATAATAATAAAAAATCAATTAGATAATATTTGTCTATTGCAAGTTGATCTAAACGATTATTTTCAATACCAATAATAGAACAAAGCAGCAAGACTTTAAATTTGATTTTATTATTAATAGGCAAGATTATTTCATCATGTAAATCAAATAGTGCGACCATATTTTGGTGACCGGACAATTCATCGCAATAGCATAATCCAATCATAATGTTTTTTTCAATAATGAAGCGACTTATTTGATCAAGTTTGTAATATGTAATCTAATGGCTATAAAAGTTATTCGAAATATTACTAAAGGCTAAACTTCGATTTTTTTATCTTTGGGTGTTACCACTATCAAGAGTCCTAGGAAGTCAAATGGTTGGGTCCATTTCTTGCTTCATAATTGATGTCAACAGTACGTAAAAATCTTCGATTACGAGGTATCATCAAAACTATTTCTAGTATTGTATGAATCATCGACTGAATCTGACTAGCGTAGTTTTAAATATTTAAGATAACAGGCGATAGTTCATCAACTAACAGAATTTGCACTTCAAATGTGAAAATTTAAGAACAGAAATTCATTAAAAGTATTTTTGTGATGAAGTCAAAGCTGTTCTTCAGAAAATGCTAAAGTTCCCTTGCACTTGCAAAGTATTTTCCCATTGTCAAAAGTCTTGAGCTGCAGAACGAATTACGAGAAAAATACAATGTCCTTTCCACTAATATAGGAAAAATTTCCCACTTGTATCGCTCGCATTAACTAACTTATTATCTAAACAACAAGATTATCGTACTGTTCAAGATAAAAAAGAATCGACGTTTAGCCTTTAGTAATATTTCCAATAACTTTTATAGTCATTAGATCACATGTTGCAAACTTGATTGAATAAGTCGCTTCATTATTGAAAAAAAAAATATAGTTGGATTATGTTATGGCGACGAATTGTCCTCGTACCCATATTTGATGTGAATAAAAAGAAAGAAAATAAGTGATATTATTATATATCTACGCATTTATATTCGATAAAGAGTTTTATTTTTCTTTGACACGTTTGCCTGAATAATGAACAGATATCTTCATATATATGCATATACATCTGGATAATTATTCTTTGACAGGCACTGTTTAAGTAATCATCAATCAGCCAAGAGTTCATAAACAATGGATGTGTCATCAAAATATCTCTTGGGAACAATAAAAAGGGCGCAGAGATGGATGCTTTCACTTCTATTTGGAACGGAGTATAAGGTCTTAATTAGAGATATAAGAGACTAAAAATAAAAGTCTTTATCGAATATAAATGCGTAGATATATAATAATATCACTTATTTTCTTTCTTTTTATTCACATCAAATNTGATTTTATTTTTCCAAAAACAAATAGCACACACCTGGAAATAGCCGAAAAAGCGTAGCTCATCAGCTATAGAACATTCTGATTGGTTGATTCACGATTGGTCTACAGAAACTTCGATTTTCTCGGAAATGGCTCTTAGGCCGAAAAATCTAATTACACTAGAAGGTCTAGCTCATTTTTAGGAACAAAATGACACCAAGAAAAACCTTCTAAAAATTGGCACAAATGGTGCACTACTAAGTGCATTAGTGTGTTCGAAATTTGCTATTGATTCGATGACTCATCCTGATTTGTCCACTGACTATATAATAAAACCTCCTATTTAAATAATTATGATCTGCTTTTTGTTTGCGTCAAAATCATTGTCTGATTGTCTTCACTTAAAAAAATCAGCAATTAATCACTGTTGTTTTTTTCTTCAATTATCACAAATAAGTTTAAAATCTTGGGAGATTTTGATGACATGGGATTCTCGCCTTACAATGCTAATTCAGGATGTTATCGAAAAATACTAGAATAGAAAAAAACCTAGGTCTACTTGTACAAAACGATGAGAAAAAAAGATGATGTATCATTATTGCCATGCTTATCAAAATAATATGATTTTCTTCAAAAGATGATTCGTTTCGAAATCAGAAGAAAATTTCAACTGTTAAGTTTATCCAGTAACCGAGAAAAAAACAAGCAATAATTATTATTTTTTCTTTTTCATTTGACAACAAATTCATTTTGCTAGTAATCAATGACAATAAAAGATAACTAATAATGAATGATCGCTTTTTATATTGTGTTATTTTAATCACCAGTAAGTGTTACCTATTGTGGTTTATTCAGAAAACAGTTCTAAAAAAATTCTGACATGTATCTTTTGAGAAAATTGGAGTTAAATTTGAGTTCTTTTTGATCCTCTTATCGTTCGGATCCATATATCTAAAGCAAAGAAGATCTCTGAATAATCTGACACTTTTTGTTCGAATAAGCATAGTATAAGGTTCGTTTTGATTATAATATGTTAGCGTTTTTAACTTGATGGATAAATTTTGTCAACAGTTCAATTTTAGCATAGTATCGTTTTTCCAAAATTTGGAAGTGCCCTCGAACAATGATTTCTAGATACCTAGCTCTGAAAATTATTTTACAGTGACAACTTGTTATGTTTTATCTAATGGTAAAATCAGAGTTTCAAAAGAATATTCATGACAGATAAAACAGATCGATTTTGGAGGCCAATGTTCGATAAAAATCGACTTTTCAGCCTGCTATTCTGAAGTTAGTACATGATTTGAATCAAAATCAAATATGAATTTCTACATAACTCGACGACGACTACAAAACTAGTATACTTACATCGTCGCGACAGAATATTCGGTATAAAGTGGACGGACTTGTTTGGTAGCACTTACTATTGTTGTTGTTCCTACAAATAACTATTATATTTTCCAGTATATGTGATGATAATGCAACTTGTTTTGTTCTTAATATACTAAGACAAAAAAAAACTTTCTTTTACAATAGCAATAATGAATCTTATTAATGGATTTCGCAGAAATAATTGAATAACTTTTGCTTGCAAGAAATAATATAATAAAATGTTGATTTAGCTTATCATATATTTTCTTTTCATTACTAAAATATTCTATTTTTCTGTTTTTACTGGCGAAGTTTTCATTACCAACGATGAGCCTCTTTTTCTCTTTCTTATTGTAGACTGTAATTTTTTTTTTTTTTTGATTACATTTATTTTTAGAACATCTCAACAAATATTTTATTCAGTCACAACATTTTCCTACGGTTACAATGACAAGAATGAATCCATTTTAAATCATTTGTTTCTTCCATATTATTTACCGTCTTTCATTGACAAAGATTTTTTTAAATTAAATCCAATTAACCAATATGAATTGATGATAGTAGAATATATGAAAGAATATATCAATATTTTTGAACCAACCACTAATACCAATAATTTGTCAATATTTCGAGTACTTAATGATTGTGTTAATTGTTGATCTGTTTTATAGAATCCTTCAAACTTTTTCGAACGAATTTACAAACTAATAACTTTCAATAATTACCCCTAGGAAGTTTTCTTTCACTATATTTCAATGCTCAGAACATTGCAATTCTAATTGAGATTGAAGAAAATAATTCTCATCAAACATTAATTTCATCTTGGCAAGTCTTATTACCAACTATGATTATTACTTCTTTTTTGTTCCCTATCTCTCTTGTTTTTCAGTAACAACATACAAATTGAATAATTGATCTCAGTTGAACTCTAAAGTTCATTGTGAATTGTTGATGAATTTTTTGTATGACCCAATTGAACATTCCAAATCTTATAAAGTTCCTCGACCAATAAACGATATACGTGACGTAATAGAATTCCATGATGTATATCTGTGATGGATTCAACAGTTTCAAGGGATTAAAATCGAAAATAACTCGAATATGTCTATCCAATTCAAGGAAAAATATCGTGGCCATGTCAGATGAAATAATGTCTGTTTACCTTTTCGACGTTCAGGCTTATGACTGACTATCAAAGTATTCTTTCATACCATTCTAACCAAACGTTTGGGACATGTTGGTAACGTAGTTTATAAAGTGTTAATCACTCATTTTCTTACACATGTTAATGACAAAGCATATTCGTCAATATTCATTGATTTATTAGTACATGGTATTCGAAAAATTGTACGAAGATTAAATAAAATTGAAAATTCGTTATCGTCTATAAATTTAAATGATGTAGATGAATAGGTAGAACATACGAAACACGAAATAGTTACAAATAAAAATTAATTAAATTCTTCCAAAACCAGATTGGCAAAAAGCTATTCAAATCAATGAAGAAATAAATCTCAAATTATTAGGGACTAATTTCTAATTGAATGGCTCTAATATTTACAAGTATTTGTGCCAAGAATTAATATTTGATCTGCATAATGAGAATTACATAAATGGGGATTAATCGTCCAACAATATCTCAAAATGAAAAAAATCACTTTGAAATTTTATTGAACTTATTGGAAGAATATCAGAATGCAGTGCTGAATCATTGTTGATCAGAAAATGGTGCAACAGATTCGACAGGTTATACTAGATTAATTCTAACGTCATTGATAATTATTCGCTCAATGCATCAAAAATTATGTAATGATACAATATTTCAACGACTACAACTATATTCTATTAATATTGCAAATCTTTTGAATCTGTTCGAATTTTTAGTTTTACCAAATAGAGAAGATATGATTCGAGTTCGCTATCTGTATGATTATTTTAATCAATTTAATCATAAAACATTTCCTGATCTATTAACAAATATAGATCATTTTAATACATTTGTTGTACATTATGCTTCTTAGTCATCAACGATGAACGACAGTATACAAAAAATTAGAGCTCAGGCTGAATTGGATAAACAACAGAATAATATACAAATCTTATGAGATCAATAAGAGATCTTTCGTGTTTCTGTGGTTATTACTATGGTTATTATAGGACATGTGATAGATGTATAGTTAAGAAAGAAGCTAAGAGCATTCAAGTAGACATATACGAATGTCCATTACCAATCAAATGCGAAGAAGCATTTGTCGTTATTTTCGAATTACAAATGCCCATTGAAATTCAAAATTATCGTGATATCCTCTAGCAAATTGTGAATCGTCCAAAGCAACACCTTAAGCACAATATGTATTAGTGGTTAAGTATGTCTCCTCATGCCAGTAAGCCAGGACCGTTTTATATAGGTTCACAAAACTGCAAAGTGAAACTAATATCTTCGAGAAAATCTGTAACGCAAATTCATTATTTTTGTCCACCTTCCATTGCAACTGTACCCATAAATAACTCTTTGTTCGAAAATAGTTTGAGTATTTAAATCTTGCCAAATAAACCAATTGAATTCAGTGATGAATGTCGAATATTAACGCCTCAGCTTGATTTATCATCCAGACTATAAACAGTTACAATTTACAATAGACACCGCGCACTTTTGTACAAAATCGTATCATTTCGAAACTATCTGATTGCTCAATACAATTGAAACCTAACCAGTTTGTAGAACTCGGTTTATTTCGATCAAGTCATCGTTTACAACGGTGGAATCTCTTAGCGATGCGTGAAATGAATTCTTTGCCAATTGCTAAAGAAACTGTTGCCATACTGATTATACATTCAGTTTTGCCTTATGAACTTCTGACAATGGATCGAGATTCATCCTGTAATTCTTGATGTTCACAAGCCCATGAACAATTATTAGAAGATCATTTTATCGATGAACTAATTACGAGGTTAGATCATCGTTTAGATGATTGTGAATTAAATTGACAAAACGAATTGGTATTAGTGATTATTACGATGATTGCTATGAGAGTGTTAACTATTGGTATTTCATGTGTCTGAACATTTTCCACTCATTCAGATCAAATATATTATTTATTGTCCTAGAATGAACATATGATATTTCTAATAAAAGTCACAAATACTATTCACGATAATATTATTGTAAACAAGAATCAATCAAATATGAGTACATTTGTGAGAAATATAATGAGGTTTAGCGAACGTATCTTAGTAATGGTACAGCCCACAATTGCTGAATTTCTTCATAAAATTTTGTACAACGTTTAAATGATTTTATTGAGATCTATTGAATTGTTATTAAAAGTCAAAGTACAATGAATGACAAATGACAAAAAGAATGCAAGATTCTTATGATCGTTGGTACGATTGCCGATAGAAATCAAGATATATATATATCAATTAATTTTATCAGAGGATCATTTTTAGTCGATAAAATGACCGTGGGAGTTTTACCTGAAAAAATAACAACTAATGAATTATTTGTACGTGTATTTGGTAATCATGTTTTTGAAGTTCAATTAGCTGAAAAACCTAAAACTTATATTATGAAACATTCATATTATGGTAATGGAATAGTTCAATATGAAATAACATTTCAACGATTAAACTAAATATTTCACAATAACTGAAAGATTTATACAAACAAATGATATGTTTCAATTGATTCATCATAATTATTTTCAGGCCGAACTACCAGATACTTTTGTCTTCAAACATAGCCATTGGATGCACATGAAAAATCAGATAGTTGAATTTCGACTGATTTTTTTTATAAAGAACCTGATTTTTTTTTGATAACAAATCCTACATACTATCATTGGAAACAGGATATATTACTGCTACCGTATCAAATAATACATGAGCGTTGATCAATCAAACATCTACTTTTATTCAAACTTTATTTAGTCAATATTTTAAACGTCTAAATGATAAGTGCTATGTTTACAAGATGCGGGACTATGTTTCTCAGCTTGATATAATGATTCACATCTATAGATCTCGTTTAGACATTGTTTTCAAATACAATGCTACAATTAATATCATAACATCTTGTGAATATTCCGATATATGCATCGATAAAGATCAATGATTAGAAACCTTAACAGGTTTAACATCTGACCTTTTTTTTGTCACCATTACCAGTCGATAAGTACAGATTGGATCATTATCAATATCAAAAATTGATCGTACCTTTTGGCATGATTTGTAGTGTAAGAAGTTCGTAGACGAACCACCAAACTGTTACCATATAACGATCATTTTTAATATTGTTTCCTCATAAATATTTTGTTTTCATTCTTAATGATCGATTGAAAATACATCAATCGACAGATTGTTCTACTGGATGACTTTATTTAGTATTGTTATATGCAATGATTTCTCATCCTTTACCAGATCAATATACTGGAATGGAACGAGCCTTCCAATTATTAAATTCAGCTGGTTGTTGGTCGGATCAACCTTTCGATGAAGGTTCTTTAAATATTCTTGCTCAAATTGCATCCATTTCACCATGGGCTAATTACTATTCAGAAAATATGACTTACATGAAAAAAACATAGACTGGAATTCAAATGATTTACCCTATTCAATGCGACACTTTGACTACTATTTAATAGTGAAGAAATTGATCAGTGCTAGCCAAAGATCCAATTTTATATATCCGTCGTTAAATTCAAATAAGACATCAGAACTATTTAAAGAAAAAATATACAACAAAATGTTATTAAAAGAATTATATTGAAACTATCAAAATTCATATAATCTCACAGCTAGATTACCTGTAGAAATGAAAGCTGAAATCTTGTGTACTAATTCAAACATATTAGATAGTTCGATTTCAGAATATTGTTCACATGTCACTAACTACAGTGCTATTCGTCTTGTAAATGATCTATATAATAATGGAAATGTAGATCTCAGAGATTGCTCGAAACAACATTGATTATCCTTGTCTCAATGACTGACTGATGAAAATAATTTGAAAAATATTTGAATAGGTTTATTAAAAATGGTTGCTTGTCTTAAAACAGAAGCAGCTAGGAACAATACAGACGATATTAAACGATTCGAAGGTTTTCTATAGGTTTTCTTCATTATATATCTGACAAATATAAAATCAAACCATTTTATTTACAAATGCTAAACACAGCATCCAAAGTATCGACTATATCACTAAATTTCATTACATTTCTTCTTTTTATTCTCTCTATCAGAACATCGAAGAAATTCTAGTTTTGAAGGAGTATATCAATTATGAAAGTACTCTTACTGTGCGCCAACGAAGAATAATTATAGATAAAGTGAACAAATGTTTTGCATATGGTCGTTATTTGAAAGGTGGCGATGATTTGTTAACTTTTAATAAAATAACTTGGAAGAATAACTTACTGAAGTCGTGGCGGTCGAACAAATAGCTTCAATCCTTTTTAGATATCGTTCAAAGTCACATTTGTTCCGTTTCATTAGTACAGTTTGATACCAAAGTATCGTATCATCCTCAACAGTTTGCACGTAAACTAAGTAAAAATCACTATCGAATACAAATCAAATCGACAAATAATTCATAGTATCCAGCATTATTATGGAGTGCTAAACAAATATTTCATTATCTTAATTCCGAGTATTTGAATAAATCAATAGTATGTATTCAGACTTCTAATTAAGAAAATCTATTTCCACAAGATATTTTTCCTTCTATCAACGATCAAAGCAATTCTCTAAGTGACATTACTAATTATTTGAAAGTTGGAATAAACTTCGTTCCGACAGACCATATAAAAAAGACTATCCTTCAATACAAAAAATCATTGATTCAACAGTACAAAATATAATTACGCAGATGAATATGAGTGAAAGAAAAACATCAGTCATTTTACCAATGCTAACTGTTAATTTATCTTCGACTTATTCCACTTTAGTTCGTATTATAGTACTTAAATCATTATTTCGAACAAATTATCAATCATTACGATATAAATTTGGTGGTTTAATTAATCGACGTATTTTTTTATTTGTATGTCATCGTGATATAAATTTCAATAATGTACAAATAAATAAAATTTTTGAACGTTTTCAACAATGTCTAAGTAATTATGATATTAAATTAACATCACCATAAGATATTTAAGTCGGCTGACTGCACGAAATGTCTTTCATTTGAATTACTTACCATTCGTAAGTGTCGGTCGTTCTATGTTAACAGTACAATGATGCTTAAAAACTTATGTTCGTGATGTATTAGATGAGTCTGATGACATTTTACATGTTAGATATAAATTAGTTTATACTGTGGATGGTCAACAACAGGTTGATTGAAGTGCAGAACATTGAAAAACTATTCAAACGATTCTCGACTTAGTCAAAAAACATGCTCAAGATGTATAAAAATAGTTCAGCAAAAATGTTGGTTATAAACAACCTAAACGAAAAAGTGTTTTTCACAATTTCGTTTACAAACACGTGAACCATTTGCGTTACTCTGTTAAAAAGTTGCGCATGATTGGATTGATAATAGAAATTATCGTCGTACTGATAAACCAATCATTTATTTTAGAAACCCATTTATCAATTGAACATTTAATTAATAAATTTCCACATCATGATATTCAATTATTTCTCATTATTCCTGGTTTATTATCATCAAAAGTTTTGTTAGTTGCATTTAAAAAAACGATATCAAATTAATTATAGTGTCAATCCATGTCTTTCATTTAATGGCTGTACCATTTCGTGCCAAAGCTGTTGTAGATGATCGAACGGGATACTATGAACAAATCTTTCGTATTACTGTTCGGGTTTGAATAACTCACAATTGTCTCAATCGTTTGAAGAACGAAAAAACTGATCCTGAATTGATTTATGACCAATGGATTTTATATGAAGATACACATGGCATACCAGCAAGTATTAAACAATGGAATGAAGCTAATTTAAAAGATTATCAAGAACAAACTCGTTATTTCTTTTCTACTTTTCGATGTAATGTGTTAGCTATTAATTATTTTCTAGATTATTTTACATTTCCTTGAGAAATAAAGCAGTTTCCATATAAATTAGTTGCTTTTACTTGGGATTTAAGTTCATCTTTTTACAATCAAAAATTATCACCGAGTTTAGTAAAACTAATGATACATAATTATTAGTTCCTATTCATATTCGTCAATATGATTTATCAGAATTTCAAATACTTTAAAACAAATTGTAGATTATCAAGAAACTATTAATGATATTTTAGATGTTGGAGCATTATTTATTTATTGATTGAACCAATAGAGATATTGCCATTAAATGGTTGAATCTATCTGATAAAAAACAAATTGATTATGTTGTTTACTTGGAAGGTGATTTAATATGTGTTTGTGATCGTTAATTTCATCATTGTTCATTGTAACATCTCCTGAGAGTAAACAATTGGATTATTGTGTATTTTATTTAGATGAAATTCATACGCGAGAAACTGATTGCAAATTTCATGTGAGATTCAAAGCTGCTGTAACATTAGGAAATGATTTAACCAAGAATCGTTGTGTTCAAGCATGTATGAGAACGAGAAAATTAGGTAATAGTCATTCATTAACAAATCCAAACATTAAAAACAATATTATTTATTAATGATCAAGAAGAGAATAAAAATGATTTCATCAGACTAATTGATATGTTTCGTTGGGCCATGAAAATACTCAACAATCAACTTGGGATGGATTACATCATTGGGCTTCACAAAGTTTAAGTTTTCAACGAAAGATTTCTGCGTTTCGACATATTAATTGAGATGATCATCAACAATCATTTGTTATTATAATGATGAAAGATTTAGCTAAAGAATGTTCAGCAAAACAATGTTTATTACAATTGTTAGATGAAGAACAACAAAGAGAATCAGAACAAGCTTTAGAAGAAGAACGTCCATCATCTGTCACGCCATGTAAACCTATATTGCATGATGAAATTAAACGATTGTGTGTGATATTCATGGTATTATGATGAGTTTAACAGATTTTTCTAATGTATTTCGTCATTTACCATATGCTTTCACTGACATAACATTTTACAATGATTGCCAACCTAACAATTAGCAAAAGAACCTTTGGATACCTACTGAATTTCAACGTGTGATTACACCTAAAGAAGAATCATTAAATCCATTTTTACTTCCTCCACGATGGATTATTATCTACTGTAACCAATAATTAATTTTTTTAGTGCTTTTGAAGTCCATTGGTTAATAGGTCGTTTAAACAATCTTCATCACAAACGACAATCTAACAATCCACCAGTTACTACATTATGTTTATAATTACCTCGTATTAAACGAGTTCAATCAATTGCTGTCAATATTTCAACTTTCAAAATTTCTCCATTAATTGGATATCTTAGTGATGCTGTTCCTTTTCTCATATCACTCGAGTGGTTGGTTCATTTACTTATCTTTAATGGTACTCTTTATTTTGAAACAGTTGACGAACAAACAGTTTATTATCAATGTTTAAGTTTATGTCCCAAACCTCGATCAATGGAAGAAGAAGAAGAAGAAGAAGAAGAAGCATTTAAAAACGGTAGGATTACTGTCAATGGTTTTGTCAGTAGTTCTGAATATCGCCATCATTTGCATTTACATCAAGTTCAATTTCATTCTAATCTACTAACATTTATCAAACAAATAATTGAAAATCGAAATAATTCACATGCATCTATGTCATCATATGTTGGTAGTTTTATACGCAATTCATTCAAACTCATTTAATTAATACGAAAATTGCATGTACTATAAAGATATTCAATTCAAACAAAAAATTCTTTCTTTTTTATGCTATAAAGGGAGTTTAATAAACCAAAAGAAACAAAAACAAGAGTTCAATAAAGACTAAAAATCATAGAATAAAACCAATTAATTGATGATGTTTGTTTTTCGAATTATGTCAACTATAAAATATGGAAATACTTCGAGACAAATCTTGTAAAAAAATGCCTCTTATTTTAATGATATTTTATGCAAAAAAAATGAAGGCAAATATTTCAAGAAAAAAAACCTATATTTAGAATTTTGCTTCAGCTATAGATTTCTCTCTAGTATTTATCTATCAATCGAACGAAAAATAGTAATTTTAAGGTTATGTGGGTATGCAGTAAGATGGATAATATAATCACACATTCACATTCATGCTAGAAAATCGATTTCTATTGTGATGAAAACTTCATGTTCTTTTTGAAAAAACTGAACAAAGATAATCGATAGTGGACAATCTGAATCTGTCATACTCTTAGAGTGGGTAGGCATGGGTGAAGATCTTTTCTTCACCTGCACCCACACTCATCTAACATAGTTTAATTGCACAGCAACATTTAATAGAAATTTTTCGTTTTTTTTAAAGTGAATTAGCTAGGTTGTATTCAGTAATTACTCTATTCGAAAGACATCATTGATCTATTCACTGAGAGTGGTACAGCACGAAATATCATGCAAAAGAATCACTATATAATTCATCATCTAACTTTCGGAATCAATTCAACATCCTTGGAATAAAAGTCTGTGTCAAACGTATTGTAACGTTGAATAAATTGAGAAACCCTCCGTTTAACTTTTTCATAACGCACTTTTATAAATTTGGATTTTTTACATGACGACTGATTCTCGATCGCCAAAGGTAAACAAGCAATGACATAATCAGAATATTTTATTTTTGCTTTCTCCGCTTTATCTTGTCGGCAAATACCTACGGAGCATAGTGGAGGAAGCAAAAGAAAAAAATGCTGGTTTATTATCATACTTCTTTTCGTTTCAAAACATATTGACACGGAGAATTTTTTGCTAGCAGTCAACTCAGTTTCAACAACTATTAATATCGCATTTCAAGTATACAACAGCAATGAATTTGGAGGAGTTGGCCAATGAAACACTACTCTATGTATTCGAATTTCTCAGCACGGCTAATCTTATTCATGCTTTTCATGATCTTAATGGTCGTTTTAACATTCTTCTTTGCGATCATTTCCAAATATACGGTCTTAACTTTGCATCAATAAGAAAGAATGATTTTGACACTATTTGCCGACAATATCTTCCATTGATTACCGATAAGATACCATCATTATGTTTATCGAATGAGAGAGAAACTTCTCATCAAACAAATTTCTTTTTTTCTCAAGGTTTCACTCTAAATCAATTCATCTATTTAAAATCACTTATCTTATCTATGGCTCGATTCAATACAATAATCGACACAACAAAAATGAACTTTTTCCATCTACCAAATCTCACTCAACTAGACATCTTCATTGACTTGATTCGAGAGAATGTACCAGTATTTCACGATATTTTGAACAGCATTTGGAGTTTACCTAAGCTTTCTTATTGCAAATTGTGCATTGGCCTTCCCCATGAAGTTCAGTGTCCTCTACCAACAGTAATTTCATCATCGCTTGAACATCTCTCTATTATAGTGAGTTCTTTTTTGTGTCAATTTGAAATTTATGATTTATTCCAACAAACGCCAAACCTTCGACGTCTTGCAACAACTTGGAGCAGGCATTGTTATTTTCATTGTATAAATTCTCCTGTTCTATCATTAACCAAATTGAATATGAAATTTACCCTTGAACATAAAGAGGAACTAGTAAAGTTTTTGCAAACGATGCCGAATTTATGTCAATTAACACTCGATCTAACGGCCACCTACATAGATGGATGTGAATGGGAATTATTAATTTCTAATCATTTGCCTAGACTTAAAATATTCCAATTGAGAAATACCTTAACATTTACTAAAGGAGAGAAGAAAAAGCAAGTCGATAACATACTCGTCACATTTCGTTCTCCATTTTGGCTTGAGAAACATCGGTGGTTAGTTCAATGTGATTGGCATCCACAGGCTAGCAATCGTGACCTCTTACTTTACACATTACCATACCCATTTGATGATTTTCATCTTGATCATTCCATCCAATGTCTCTCGACTTCTTCTCAATATAATACTGATCACTCATATAATCGTGTACGCAAACTTTATTGGAATTTCTCATTGTGGGATACAAAAATATCGATTGCACCTCATCTCCGTTTCTATAACTTGCAGTACCTTTGTATTCAGTTTCCGATCAATGACAGTTTTGTGGCCATTGCCCTGAATATCATGCCAAGGTTCAATCGTTTGATATCATTAGAAGTTTCCAACTATGATTGGAATACTGAACATGATCGAGAACAACTTCAAAAAGTACTTGACAGCGGACCTCATCTATACTCAATAAAATTTGTTCGCTGTTGTTCTATTCGCCAAATGCCATCATTTCTAAATACGAATGCTTCAATTCATATTGATGCAGAAGGTATCGACTGTTATTATGATAGCGAATGTGACTTATTGAGTCGTTCACTATTAGGAAAGCAATGTGAGACGCTTTTCATCAACGTTAAAAATTTATTATGTATACCTGATCTTGTGAAAACAATGGCCAACATGCGAGCATTATACGTCTGGCATGTAAGATGTTTGAATTTTCCGGAAACATTTACGATAGAGGAACTTGTCGAACGGTTACAAAATTGTACCCCATCACCATGCACAATTATCGAAGATTCTGTTGATTACAACTGTATTCAATTGTGGCTTCGTTGACAAGAAGTTTCACATTCTTATTTCAAGATCGACAAGTTTCAAGTAAAACATAAAGCACCTGAATTGATTTTACTGATTATGTTAGTTTCTCTGTTGGCAACGAGCTATGTGACGTTCAAACTTAAAGATAAATAAAAGTGGGAACTGGTGAAAAAAAAGTGAAATGCTTTCTATAACATATTAGCAATAATAATGTTCTATTATGTGTACAAGATGCATATATATTCTCAAACTTCAAAGTGACATAATTGTTCGATGAAGAGAGTTCGAGTTTCTATAGTCACTAGAATCATGTCTAACCTTTACTCTCACCCTTATGATGACGAAACTACAAGAGAGTGATACATTGATCTCAACGTGAATTTCTCCAAACAAATACCATTATATTTCAAATTTAGCTTATTTTCGCCGCTACACACACGAAAGAAATAAATTTGCTCCTGTCCAAGTACATTTTTTCTCTTCTCATCATACATGTTTTATATCGTTCTCTGATATGTACCCACACAAATGAAGTGATCGCATTGTTGTTGAAAATAATTTTGTGGTTACAAGAAGATAAGGCAACAATGTTACAAATTATGTCGTCCATGTCCTACTAAGCCATAGCAAAAATTGAGTCTCACTGTTTCCATAACTTGCTAAGCTCATCGTTTGGCAAACAACATTATTGCTAGTGACACACGTATCCACTAGAGTCCTGTGGGATAAGATTTTTTGTGTTCCGATTTGTAATTGTTCCGTTAGCTAAAAGGTGGCTGACTGCACAAATTACATTAGCCGACTTATTGCTTTTCACTCACTTATTTGCCATGACAATTTTTTTCTTCTTCTTTTTGACGCATTAGTTACGAGTCACATTAGCTACTCGTTCTCCACAGGTAACCATTATTTTGAGATGAGAAAAGTTTTGCAGATATCGTGAGAAGGTGACAAGTGCACATCTGAAAAATAATATTGATATTTCAGATACTATATGGGATAGTTTCCTTATAGAGCAATATCTGGTTTAGATTCATTATGATTTCTTAAACAGTAGTATAAAATTTAGAAATAGCATGTGTTCTATAGAATTTGCCTGCTCTTTGTTCTGTTATTTATTTGAATAGTAAGATATTTGTTAGAAATAAAAGAATTACATTGTACGTTATGTGTTGATATAAGGATTAAAAGATTCGTGACATCAGCTTGTTCTACGTGTATATTGTTACGATTTCTATTTATCTTGTCTCGCGGGACTGCTCTACAGGACTCTTCTATGGATATCCTGTCATAGTCTTTGTATCATCAGCAGATTCATCACGTATGAGATTTGTTCCATTGACTATTCAATCGGACTATTCTTTGAGCTTTACCAAAGACTGCCAAATAAATAATAAGGATGTGGATTTCTTGCCAGTTCACACTCACAGCAGCTTTTTTAAAAGAAAAACATTATCAAACAATTCATCAATCAACAACGCTAAGCAAACAATTTGTTATGGGCAATCTGTCACTGCGAGATAATTCTATATAGATGGTAATAACAAAAGTTACTGTGACAAAGAGTTAGCTATAATAGTGTACGGTGCATAATGTTCTAATTATGTATTTGAAAAATATCGCATTCTTCAAAATCAAGAATTAAATGTATCTTACTTCTTTTGTGTGTGTAGAAAAAACGGATGGTAGAGTAAAATGGAAGATATACTAAAAGACTCTTACTGATCATGTAATTATTTTTTGAACCGGTTTAAGGCCCCCCCCCCCCCACTCAAAAATCGATCTCAGCCCAGGTACGTTCAAATGGGCTGAAATTTGGAGCATATGTTGGGGTTGAAGTGGGGAGGCTGTGGTAAAATTTTCAGCTCGATACCCTGATGTTTGACAGAGATATGAACCAAACAAGGGTCAAAAATAGNTTGCAACTGCATCTATTGAAGCATTTTTATTTGAAAATAGTTTGATTGTTGAAATCTTACCAACACAACCGATTAAATTACCGGAGGAACGTTGTATATTAACGCCACAACTTGATCATCCAGATTACAAACAATTACAATTTACAATAGATACTACACAGTTTGTTCAAAATAATGTCATCGCTAATCTATCAAATTGTTCGGCAAGACTTAAACTTAATCAATTTATAGAATTCGGTTCATTTCGATCAGGTCACCGATTACAATGGTGGAATCTTTTAGCGCTTTTTGAAATGGACTCATTACCCATTTATGAAGAAAGTGTAATAATACTGATTACACATTCAATACTACAATGCGGTCCATGGACAACTTATGGAATTTCATCAAGTAACTCTTGGTGTTCGGAAGCCCATGAATACTTATTAGAAGATCATTTCATCGATGAATTGATTATAAGACTAGATCGTCGTTTAGATGATTGTGAATTAAATTGGCAAAATGAATTAGTGTTAGTAACGATTACGATGATTACGATGAGAATGTTAACAATTTGTAATTCAATTAGACAAGATAAAGTTACTGATTTAGTGATTAAATGCCGAAGAATCGGTGAGAGATGGATTTCTCTCATATCAGAGAATATCAAAACCTCATCGCCCTCTGCTTTTGATAAAATCGATCAACTTCGTATGAAAATTGTAATTATTGGCATTTCATGCATCATAACATTTTCAACTCACTCTGATCGATTACACTATTTATTATCATCGACTGAACATATAGTATCTCTATTGAAATCAGCAACTACTATTCACGATAATGTTATTCTAAACACCAATAAATCTAGTATAAGTACATACATCAGAAATATTATGCGATATAGCGAACATGTTTTAGTACGAGTACAACCAACAGTTGCTGAGCTGCTTCAGAAATCTTCTTGTCAAGCTTTAAATGATTTTGCTGCCATCTATTGGGCTCCTCTTCGGAGCAAAAGTACTATGAATGGCAAATGGAAAAAACGAAGGCATGATCCCTCTGATGGTTGGTATGATTGCCGATATGAATCCAGGTATATATCAATCGATTGTATCCAAGGAATATTCTTAGTCGATGGTATGTCTATAGGATTTTTACCTGAAAACATAACAACGAATGAATTGTTTATACGTGTTTTTCGTAATCATATATTTGAAGTTCAACTAGCTGAATCGCCTAAAACTTATATTACTAAGCATTTATATCATGACAATGGAAGAGTTCAATATGAATTTTATTTCAATGATGAAACTAAATGTTTGAGAATTATTGAACGACATATACACACAAATGAAAAATTTCAATTAATTACTCATGTTTGCTTTGAGAAAGAACTGCCTGACACGTTTGTCTCCAAACACAGTCATTGGCTGAACATAAAAACTCAGATCGTTGAATTTCGACCGATTCATTTTAAAGAACCTGACTTTTTAGATAACAGACCATATATATTATCATTGAAAAATGGATATCTTATTACTACCACAGACAATAATTCACAAATTTTGATTAATCAATCATCAAAATTCTTTCAAGCATTATTTAGTTTATACTTCAATCGTCTCGATGACGCGCCCTACGTTTACATGATGCGCGGCAATATCTCTCAGACTGATAAAATTATTTATATATATTTATCTCGCTTAGGTATCGCTTTTGAATATAATTCTAGAACTCACATTATAAAATCTCGTGAATATTTCGATATGTGTATTGATAAAGATCAATGGCTGGGAACTTTAACGGGTTTAAAATGTGGTCTTCTCTTATCACCATTACCTGTCAATAACTATTTATTGAATCATTATCCTTATCGAAAATTAATCGTACCTTTTGGCACTGTTCAAAGCAAAGAAAATACATACACAAGCCATCAAATTACTACAATAATTCGACCAACGAATACGTCGTTTTCTTGTCAATATTTTGTTTTTATTCTCAATGATCGGCTAAAAATACTTCAATCAACAGATAGTCCTACCGGATGGTTGTATTTAGCATTGTTACATGCAATGACTTCTCATCCTTTACCAGATGAATATACAGGTATGACTGGAATGGAACGAGCTTTTCAATTACTAAATTCAGCTGGTAGTTATTCGGATCAACCTTTTGATAAACTATCATTACATATTCTCAGCCAAATCGCATCAATTTCACCGAAGGTTAATTATTATCCAGAAAAAACGACTTATATGGAACAAGTAGACTGGAGTTCAAATGGCTTACCTTATTCGATGCAACATTTCGGTTATTATTTTATTGCAAAAAAACGAATCGAAAGTAGTCAACTGTTCAATTTTATGTACCCATCAATCAGTTTAAATAAAATGCCAGAACTATTTGAAGGAAAAATATACAATGAAATTTTATTGGCAAAACTATATTGGGACTATCGTGATTCATATAATCCTACAGCGAGATTATCTGTTGAGATGGAGACTGATATTTTACCTACTACTTCAACAAAATTGTATTGTTCATCTTCAGAATATTGTTCGCATGTCACAAACTACAATGCTGTTTGTCTTGTAGACGATTTGTACAATAATGGATATGTAGATCTTCGAGATTGTTCAAAACAGCATTGGTTACCGTTGTCTCAATGGTTGACTGATGAAAATAATTTGAAAAATATTTGGATCGGTTTGCTAAAAATGGTTGATTGTATTAAAACAGAAACAGGTGAGAAACATATGGACAATGTTAAACGATTCGAAAGCTTATTAGACTTTCTTCATTATATTTCTGACAAACGTAAAATCAATCCATTTTATTTACAAATGTTAAAGACAGCGTTGAAGGTTTCTTCTATATCTCTGAGATCCGTTGAATTTCCTGCTTTTGAATCTTATGAACATATTGAAAAAACCGATATTGATGATCTATTCGCTTCTTTTCTAACTGACCATACTTCAAGCCAGCGCAGACAAATTACAGCAGAAATTCGGCACTCTTTTGAATGTGGTGCTAGGTTTCAAGATGACGATTACCTACTAACCAATGATGAAATAATCGAAATAAATGCACAATTACGATCTCGTCGAGCTAACATAAAACTTCGAGCGTTTTTACAAGTTATTCAACGTCTCATTTGTTCCGTTTCGATAGAACAGTTTCATGCTCAAGTTCCATATTATCCTCAAAAATTTGCACGTGAAATTGGTAAAAATCATCATGAAATACGAATAAAACCTATAGAAAGACCAATCGATCCAATACTTTTACGAGCTGCTGAAAACAAGTTTCATGATTACAATTCCGAGGATCTAAATCAAACAATTTTTGTTCGAAGATCTGATCAAAAAAATGAATTTCCACAAGAAATATTTTCTTCTATCACTAAGCAAAACAATGATCTAAGCGAAATTATGAATTATTTTAAAAATCAATTATCTCAAAGTTGGAAAAAATTTCTTTCGGATAATGAATATGAAGAAGGATATTGTTCACTTAAAAAAATTATTGAAATTCTTCACTCTTATCGAAAAGAATCTGTCTGTTTTTGGAATGAATTATTAAGTTCTATAAAATTATCCAATGACCAATTACTTGAAACAGGTCTAATTCTACGAATGACACCAACAACTCTAATACCTTTACTCCAACAAAAAGATTCATCTCGTTCTCTACTAACGGAGGATCAGTGTACGATACTCGGCGGTATTATTGTCAATTGGACGTTAGAACAACAAATCGAACGAATTTTGTATTTTGCAATTCATAAAAAATGGGAAGATTTCAAAAAAGAAATATCTCATACGCCACATTCAATTTGGAAACCATCGGAACATATTTCTTGGCTTATCTTAGAATTAGAAATGAATATAACTATTCGCGAGATTCAGATTAAAGTAGCACAACATATGATACAATCAAATATAAATACTGATGATTCCACCGTACGAAATATAGTTATGCAAATGAATATGGGCGAAGGAAAAACATCAGTCATTTTACCAATGTTAGCTGCTAATTTATCTTCGTTTAATTCGAGTTTAGTTCGTGTCATCATACTTAAATCATTATTTCCAACAAATTATCAATCATTACGATATAAATTAGGCGGCTTACTTAATCAGCGTATATTTCCATTTGCTTGTCGTCGTGATATGAATTTCAATCATGAACAAACAAATAAAATTTTCAAACGCTTTCAACAAGCATTATGTAATTGTGACGTCGTATTAACTTCATCAGAAGATATTCTTTCATTTGATTTACTTACAATCGATAAATGTCGAAGACAAGAATTTTATGTTGCTCGTTCTATGTTAACAATTCAACGATGGTTAAAAAAATATGCACGTGATATATTAGATGAATCTGATGAAATTTTACATGTTAAATATCAATTAATTTATACAGTTGGTGGTCAACAACAAGTTGATGGAGGTTCAGAACGTTGGAAAACAATTCAAACAATTCTTGAATTAGTTAAAAAACATGCTGCTGATATTTCGAACCATTTCCACGATAATGTTTCTTATAAAGCACGGGAACGAAAAAGTGCATTTCCACAATTTCGTTTACAATCACATGAGCCATTTTTATTACTTTGTCAAAAAATTGCAAATGACTGGATTGAGAAAAGAAATTATCGCTTTGAAGATAAATCAATTGTATTATCATTTATTTTAGAAACAGATTCATCTATTGAATGTCTTATTGATAAATTTTCACGTTTCCATATTCAATTATTTCTTATTGTTCGTGGTTTATTATCATCGGAAGTTTTATTAATTGCTTTTAAAAAACGTTATCGTGTTAATTACGGTGTTAATCCAAATGCAAGTTTTAATCGTTTAATGGCTGTACCATTTCGTGCAAAAGATGTTGTCGCCGATAGAACTGAATTCGGTCATCCTGATGTTGCATTAGTTTTGACACACCTCTCATACTATTATTCAGGTTTAAGTGAGTCACAATTATCTCAATGTTTTAAACGTTTAAGTGAACAGGAAACTGATCCAGCATCGATTTATGATCAATGGATTTTATACGAAGATGAAACGGATGTACCGAAAAGTATTCGCCAATGGAATGGAATTAATTTAAAAGATTATCAACAAAATATTGATTATATTTTCCCTACATTTCGATATAATATGTTAGCTATTAATTATTTTCTTGATTATTTTGTATTTCCTCGAGAGGCTAAACAATTTCCATCTAAATTAGTTGCTTCTGCTTGGGATTTATCTTCCTCTTTACGAACAAACATAATCACTGGGTTTAGTGGTACGAATGATACACAATTATTACTTCCAGTTCATATCCGACAAGATGATTTACCTGAACTACAAAAAACAGATGCTATTGTTGTTAATAATTTATTGAAAACTGAAAATGAAAACTATCAATGTTTACCGATTAATATAACATCTGAAAATATTTTAAAACAAATTGTAGATCATCAAGAAATTGTAAATGTTATTTTAGATGTTGGCGCATTATTTATCGATGGAACTAATAAAGACATTGCCATGAAATGGTTGAAATTATCCGACAAAAATATTATTGATTATGCTGTTTATTTTGATTCTGACTCAATCGTTGTTTGTGATCGTCAGCTGAATAACTATTCATTTGTAACATCTCCTGCAAGTGAACGATTAGATCATTGTATATTCTATTTAGATGAAATTCATACACGAGGAACTGATTTTAAATTTCCCATAGGATTTAAAGCTGCTGTTACATTAGGAAATGGTTTAACAAAAGATCGTTTTGTTCAAGCATGTATGAGAATGAGAAAACTAGGTAATGGTCATTCGTTAACATTTTGGGGTTCATATGAAGTTCATCAACAAATTAAAAAATTAAACCCTAACGCAAATGATTTGATCAAGTTGATTGATATTCTTCGTTGGGTTTATGAAAATACTCAACAATCAACTTGGGATGGTTTACATCATTGGGCTTCACAAAGTTTAAGTTATCAAAGAAAAGTTTCTGCATTTCAACGTATTAATTGGGATGATGATCAACAAATATTTACTGATGAGTGGATAAAAGATTTAGCGAATGAATGTTCAGAACCTGAAGTAATTGAATTGACAAAAATGTATGGAGCTTCGAAAGCAATGCAAACATTAGTCGAGATTCATCATAATCGATATGAACAAACTTCTCATGATATATGGAAAGAAATGAAAGATGCAGTATTAGAACGATTAGAAGAGTATGCTGGAACAAAACAACGTTTATCACAACTATTAGATGAAGAACAACAACGAGAGCTAGAACAAGAATTAGAAGAAGAACGTCAACTTGAACGCCCACCACCTGTCAAACCATGTCAACCTATACTTCATAAAGAAATAAAACAATTGTGTGATATGCAAAGTATTATGATGAATCTAACACAATATCTTCATGTATTTCGTCGTTTACCGTATGCATTCATTGGCACAACATTTATCAATGATTGTCAAGCCGAGCATTGGCAAGAGAATTTTTGGATTTCAACTGAATTTCAACGTGTAATTGAGACTAAAGGAGAATCATTAGAGTCATTTTTACGTCCCCCACGATGGATTATTATCTATCGTAATCAACAATTAATTTTACTTAGTGCTTTAGAAGCCAATTGGTTGATAGCGCGTTTAAACTCTCTTTATCACAAACGAGAAACTGAAAATCCATCGACTACTACATTACGATTATTATTACCACGTATCAAACGAGTTCAATCAATATTTGTCAATACACCAACACTCACTATTCCTCCGTTAATTGGACATTCCATTGATACTGTTCCTTTCTTTATATCGCTTCAATGGTTGGTTCAATTATTTATTTTTAATGGCACACTTTATTTTGAAACGGTTGATGAGCAAACAGCTTATTGTCAATGTTTGAGTGTATGTCCGAAACCTCGAACGAAGGAAGAAGAAGAAGCTTTTAAAAATGGATGGATTGCTGTTGATGGCTTTGTTAGTAATAGCGAACATCGTTATGCTTTGAAATTACACCAAATTCAATTCCGTAATAATCTTTTGGCATTTGTCAAGCAAATTATTGAAAATCGAAATAACTCATATGCACCTATGACATCACATGTTGGTAGTATTATTCTTAATTCACTAAAACTTATTTAATCCTGCACTGATTGAACATATCTACACCATATTTATTTCAGAAATAATTTCCACTAACGCTTGCTATAAGTATAACAGAAAAGAATTCAATAAAGATTCAAAATATCAGACAACAGATATCTTTCGAATTGCATATAAACTATTGAATTACAAAAATACTATGACGTATTGAATCTTGAATCAAATAGAAACAAATCAATCTATATCCCTGCGATACAAATTAATCTGCTAGTCTCAACTCTCGCTTTTCAGCAAACAACTATTATGTCGACTATAAAAAAGATTTGATCGATGTGCTTGAATTCGAATTAATTAAATAGAAATGCAGAGTTTAATTTCGCCGACGCGTTTCGTGTTATTTATTTAAATAAAAGAACACTCATCAGGGCTCTGCATTACAATAAAAAGCACACACACACAGAAAAAACAAAATGTTGTATAAAGGAAAAGTATTCCGATAAAGAATTATCATTATAATATAATTATAATATACTATTATTTTTTAAAAGGGTGGTACAACAATTTGAAAAAGCTACACACTCATTTAAAGGAAAAAAGGCTATATATATAATATATAATAACCAGTATTAGAGTTCCAGAACAGTAAAAAAACTTCAGAAATTATCAAATAGACACGATCTGAAGTTTGATGTTCGACGAGAATAATTTGGAACTCTGTTGTTTAATAAATTCAAGAGCTTCAGCTTGTGTCCAAAGAGTTGCTGTTGTTTGACAATTATTATTTTATTCATTTTTAATGTACACTAATTTCGCTGATAGACATCTGTATCTGCAACTTGATAGCGTCGTCGTTTATCTTGTAAACTGAAAGCCATATCTAGAACTTGATAGTGGCTATCGAATTATGATTCAACAGTTGATACTGATTATTTTAATCCATGTATTGCTTCAAATTTTCATAATATCATATGTATTATACAGATAACTTCATATTATTAGTAAGATTATTATAAGGCTTTATGATATCACTAATAATAAAAGATTTCATAATTGTTAATACAGAAATTGACATGCCATTTTCTAATAACTAGTCAAAGCTAGATATCGTTGCAAATTTTTCACATTTCGAGTACCAAGAATAGGTCTAACTTCATTAATAGGGGATTCCCTAAAATATTTATTCCAAAGTGTATGGAATTTACCAGAAAAAGCTTTCATAGCGGAACAGTATGTAAAGTGTACAAACATAACTGATCCGTAATCAATATCAACTTTTTCCTTTGTAGGTGAATCTATCATTTTTTGCCAATATCTATCATAATTGCGAATTGTTAACGGCTCATTAATATCACATTTTAAAAGAACATTATTGAATTGTTCTTCGATTAATTTGTTCGGGTATTTATTAAGTAATAAAGCCATACGTAATTTTTCACGTTCATCCAAATATGTTTGATACGTAGAACAATATCGAATTGCTCGAAGTAACATCGTAAAAGGTATATTCTTTTTCATGTGTAATGGATGTATACTATTAAATGGCAAATAATAGGGCTCATAAGATGGTTTTTGGAAAACTGTAGTGAATAAAGTGCCATCTTGATTTTCCATATATAAGTCAAGAAAATTCGTAAATGAGCCAATATTAGCTTTTAATTTAATATTTTCATCAAATTGATTCCATTTCTCGATTTGTTTAAGTAAATGTCGAATGGGCCAATTAATTACTATAAACATATCATCGATATATCGAAAGAAGAGTCCTCCGCTATTTTTAATTTGTTTCGCTATTTGTTGTTCATAAAAAAACATATAACAATTAGCCATAGTCAGAGTTAATGGAGAACCCATAGCTCCACCTCTAATCTGATGATAAAATTGGCCATCGTAAGAAAAATAATTGTTTTTCATGACAAATCGACTTAACCGAATAATAGTTTCAGTCTTTAAATCGCCAACATTTTTAAAATGTAAATAATCTAACATTTTCTTCAGAGAAAGTACTCCTTCTACTTGTGGAATCATTGTATATAAATCAAGTACATCAATAGTACAAAATATAGTATTTTGATTCATATTTAGTATACACCATTCTTTTAATTTCTTTAATAATTCAAAGCCAGATGTAACTGTGGTATCCTTAGCCATTTTATCAAACAAAGGTCTCAATAAGTCATCAAGAAATTTTGAGATTTTAATCGTAGGATGTTTGAGACCACTAATAATTGGACGTAGTGGAGTACCAGGTTTATGAGCTTTTGGTAGGTAATATAAATGAGCCAGCTCGACTTCACATGGATTAATACATAATTTTTCATATTGTTTCTGAGTAATCCATTTAGCTAATCGCAGATTCAATAAATATTTATTGGTTTTTGTAATTAAATCTGGTAATGGATCATCTATACCTAAGCATTTATACGCTTGAGTTTTAGCCATATACTCTTCAGATTTCTTGCGATAATTTTCTAATGTACCTAAATGGAATACTTTAGATTTATCAGATTTTTGTAACACAACATTCGCTAATTTGAATTTGTGTTTTAATCTTTTAACTAATCTTCCATAGTTTTTCTTTTTCTTCATTTTACATGTACTCATAAGTTGTGATTGAGAAAGTTGACTATTTATAATTTCTATAATACCTTTATTTTGATTTATATCATTACTAAATATTGCATTTTTATTTTTATCTAAATATTTATCAACTGTTGAAACATTATGTAAAGTTTGAAGAAGAACATCTAATTCAGCTATAAATTGATGAAGTGGACGACCAGGGCTTACCTTCTTGTAAAGAAAACAATTTTCTATTTTACGTTTTAGAGTAGCCAACTCTATAATACGTCGTCGAGCTGCTGTTTTTGGGTTATTAAATATAAATTTGGGTCCCAATTTTAATAATTGATGTTCTTCTTCATTTAATTGAATATTAGCTTCATTAATTATTGCTGGAGCAAGAAATCCTCGCCCAGCGAACGTGTTATAGTCGGAGCGATTATTTCTTCTTGAATTTGCAGATTGTTGATATCGCCCTCGACTTGCTGTTTGAATAAAAAATGAAGCGATTGTTCGATTTCCAGTTTTATTCTTTTTTCACGTATTTCATGATATTGTTTAAAGGCTGCATAGCCAGGCTCAGCATCAAATCCATCATCGTTATCTTGAGGAAATCTATCAATAATACCTTTAATTTCATTTGATAAGACTTCATTTTCTCGAGCAGCTGATTGAACATATAGTGTCATAGCTTGAGTACGAAAATGTTTGGTAATTTGACGCGTTTGATTATATGTGGCTTGAGCTTCATCTTGATTAATAATTGATTCATCAAGTTTAAAAGAAAAATCAAATTTTTCAATCATTTTTGGAGGCAAATCTAATTCAACACGTTTTGCCAAAATTTGATAATTTTTATTTTTTGTAGACCAATTCTTAATTTTAGGTTTTAATATTAAATGAATATTGCATTGGGCTGGAAGCTAATACATATGCTTGATTACCACGACCACTTAGAGCATTTTTCGAATTTCTCGAATGATCTTCTAACTATTTCAATATACGATTTGGTTCAAGATATTGACGAGTCTTTTTAGAAGATTGAACTTTTTTGAATTTCTATTTATAATTAAAGGCATTAATTCATCTTTAACTTCGGCTTCCACATCAGATAGATTATTATCATTTTCATCAGCTAACATAACAAATCGATTATTACGACGTTGTCGACATCTAAATGAAGACGTAGTTTTACGCTGTCGTTGATTTTGTTGTTGTCGCTGTTGTTTATTTTGATTATTTCCAGTAACTGTGAAAGGTTGAGTAGTATTATTTTGAACAAATCTTTCACGCTGTGGTAATGCATCTGATGGGATATTTGTACTTGCTATTGCCAGTGCCGTAGCTGTAGCTATATTAAAATCAGGTGGAAGATTTGGCGAAGATTCACGTAATTCAGTTGGCATAAAATCATTTAAACGAATTGGTCGTCGACCTCGTCTTCTTGGACGATTACTCAATCGACGACGACTAGGAGATCTAACAGGTTGAACTAGTCTTTCCTGTCGTTCTTGTTCTGGACTTACGAAACCATATCCACCTCTATCATATGGACTAGTATCTTATCGTGGTATATTTCGAAAATAACGTCGATAGTTTTGATTATAATATTGATTGCCTCTATTTCAATAATTTCGATTGTAAAATTTTTTTTTATTCGGACAGTAAGTCGAGGGCGATACCAACAATCTGCAAATCTAAGAAAAAAAAATCGCCCCGACCGTAATACGTTCGCTGGGCGAGGATTTCTTGCTCCAGCAATAATTTATGAAGCAAATATTCGATTAAATGAAGAAGAACATCATCTATTAAAATTAGGTCCGAAATTTATATATAATGATCCAAAAACAGCAGCTCGACGACGCACAATTGAGTGGGCCTCTTTAAAACGTAAAATAGAAAACTGTTTTTTCCAAAAGAAAGTGAGCCCCGGTCGTCCTCTTCTAGAATTTATGACTGAATTAGATGTTCTTATTCAAATTTTACATAATGTTCCAATACCAAATAAAAATTTTAATAATAATAGAAACATTGGAAGTCAAATGAATCAAAATGATATTATTGAATTATTAAATACTGAAGCAAGTCAATCACAAGTTTGCAATGTAGTAAAAATGAAGAAAAAGAAAAATTATGGAAGATTAGTGAAAAGATTAAAGCTTAAATTTAAATTGGCGAATTGTATATTACAGAAATCAGATAAATCCAAAGTATTCCATTATGGAAAAATTGAAGAGTATCGTAAGAAATTAAAGGCATATTTGGCGAAATCTCAAGCGTATCAATGCCTGGGAAAAGTTGAGCCAGTGCCTGAT